CCACAGCTTAATCTTAAGCCTTGGTTGATCAACAGTTGATTCAGAAAGAGAACATGAAGGCGGTGGTATCCATGAACGAGGACTACGAGCTGACAGCCTTCTCGAACAATTCTGATAAATGGCGGAAACTTAACGTCGAGTTCCTACAGCTGGCCACCACCGACATCTTCGAGTCGCCCAACCAGGAGAAGCTCTTCCGCGGCGTAGAGTTCATCAATAAGTTCCTGCCTCTGTCAAATCGCATCAGCGGACTGAGCTCCACGCAGTCGCCAGAGAATGTTGGCTCTGTCTATGTACACTGCAAGGCAGGCAGAACGCGCAGTGCCACCTTGGTCGGATGTTATCTGATGATGGTAGGTTAAAGGTTCATTTTTCAAGTAAGGTTTTATCTGGAATCTATTGTTTTGCAGAAAAATGGATGGACCCCAGACGAAGCTGTAGATCACATGCGTGCGTGTCGTCCGCATATTTTACTGCACACCAAACAATGGGACGCCCTCAGACTATTCTACACAAATAATGTGCAAGCAAAGTCATGACCTAAGATGTTCAATAGCACAAAATGTTTATTGCCTAGATTACCATACGTAACTGGAACAGCTTGTTCCCCCATTAACGTTTCCCAACTAATGAAATAGGTGCAGTTCTCAGATTTTGTTGAAAATTACAATTTTTGTAAAAACATGTGCGCCTTTCTCTTTATACAATTTATTTATTTAGTGCCTAAATATCTGCCGGGCCGGGGATTTTGGAGCACACAAAGCTATCAATAAATAACGGGTTGGCTTTGCGTGTTTATCGAGCGGTTGAATACTTTAAGACTGCTTCTTCTCCTCAGCATCCTTGCCCTTGATGGCCCAGAAGCGCTTAATGCCGTTGGCCAGACCCACATCATTTTGGATGAAGTAGAAGAGGCCTCCTAGTGTGGCCACCGAGAGAACAATGAGCGCAATGTGTGCCACCTTGGGCAGAATATTTCCCACCACAGAGGGACGCATGTAGTCGACAACCATGGCCTCAACACCCCTGCAATAATAATTAGAATCTCAGTGATTCGTTTTCCCCTTTTTCCCGGGAAGCAGAAATGTACATACCAATGGGCGTGAATAACCACTGAGATGGCCAGCAGAGCATCCAGTATCTGGGATGGGGCAATGAAGGCAGCTGGAATAATGGCCAAAAGACCAACCGATACCAGGCGTTCCAGTGTCCACATGGCTGTGTGGCTGGACTCAGCTGAAGCCATGCGCGGTGCACTCACAGAGATCTCCCGAACAACGGGCTGAAAGAACAGGCAGCGATTATTATCCTACATCATTCGTTCCGGTCCGGCCAGGTCATTGATGCACTCACCGCAACCATCTTGGTCAGAGCCAGGGGCTTAAGAGTCTGACGTTGGGCATTGGCCACAATTGTTGAATAGGCCTTCAGTGGCGTTATTCGCGCCGACTTAACGAGATTTGCGGCTAATTGCGGGTATACCAACAAACAGTTTGGTTATATAATAAAGACAGTTTCCTGCCAGGCTCCGCGGAATCTGGAAGTCGGTTTAATGCTTACCATTACAGCGGACGGCGCCACGCAGGACCAATGATAGAGACATGCTTGTATAGGAATTATGAATTTTTTAAAAATTATAAAAACTTCCTTGATTCGTTCAACACGGCCGACTTGTTTTCAACACTAAAAGCAGAGTTGCTGTGTCGATTATATCGGTCACTAGATTTATCGAAATACAAAAGACGTTGTTTCACACATTTTATTAAGCTGCTTAAATTGTTTACATAAAACGTTTGAGATTCATTCGGGGACGGAATTGCTGATACTAATTACAAACTTGATATGGGATGTTCGTTTACTTACAAGCTAGGTTACAAATTTCATCTAAAAGGGCAGTATTTGCATTAAAAGGCACACCAATATTTTCTATGTTTAAAAGACACTGTGGATGAAAAATAAATGGACGGAACGTAATTCCTTCGTTGGTAAAATTAAAAATACTTTGAACTCAGTGAGCGACTAAATATGTGAACAGCATACAGGCCATAGCAATGGCCGTGGCCAGTTTTCCATTTATGGCTGACGCTCCGGCTCTGTAGAAATCCCAGTCGAAGATAATGTTCGAGGCATCCGATGGTCTCCAAGGATTCAAGCCATCGTCAAAGTACATGGGGCAATCGTCGCGTTCACGCTCGTATTCAACAGCATCGATGGCCACCGCTGCCCCTTCGGAGTGATTCCATGAGGTCACATCCTGCTCCAGTTTACAGAAGGCGCCCACAGCCTGCGACATTAGAACACGGTTGAGGTCGGCGCGCTGGTACACCCAGCAGCGGTACTTGGAAAGCGGATCCAAATCGTCGTACGTAATCAGATAGGACTTTAGATTCTCCTTCCAGAAACCAATGCACTGCATGCGATAATCCGGATCACTGTAGATGTCCACTGGCCGTCCCAAATGATCAACAGACAGGCAGTAGTTCTCATCTACAGCCAGTTCCTTTTGGTCCGTATCGCAGACGGACAAATCGGAAATATTCTGCTTACAATGAATGTCCGGACGGGGACTCAAGGTCACACCACCAAGGATCCTGCAAAGATTTACGATTAGCTTCGTCTACAAAGAATAAATCAATTAAACACATGCCTCGTTCTGAAGGGATGCTCTCCTCTTTGTGTAAAGTTGAATTTTCCAGCCACCGGACAGCGAACGGGCACTGGATTCCTGGCGAGGAACAAGTCATATTTCCAGGCCTCCGAATTGGGGAACTGTACCCACGAGCATACCGTACTGAAATCATCCTTGATCACGGCCAGGCCCCTGCGGTAGCGTATGATGTTATGATGACGGGGCATGAAATCGAAGCACACATAATCCTTTTGGCATCCATCGACCGTGAGACGGGCCATCATCACCCTATTGCCACGCCGCTCGCGGCACACATAGATTGTCTTGCGGTAACGTGCTTTGTCGGGATAATAGGTCTCATTGATGTGCGTCTCGCTGATTGACACATCGGCGTCGATGTTGGCCGTGTTCACCCACTCGCCGCTAAAGTTTTGCGGCAGAGTGCAGCCCGGTTCCACAAACTCAGCTTTGACGGGGGTCAGCTTCAGGCGCTCGGGCGATGTCTCGGGCGTCTTCAGTGTATTGCACTCGGCCGTGATGGAGACACCAACGTACAGATCATCGTCTCGATTCTTGAGGAAGCAACGGTATTTCTCATCTTTGCGCGATTCCTTCGTGTTTGCCACTGCAAAGTAATGGTTCTTTCCCACAAACCAATCGCCCAGGCAACTGAACTCAACGGGGCCGCTGAATGTGCCGTCCATGCCCTCGCATTTCTGATAAGTGATGTTGAACTTTTGATTCTGTATAAGAAACTGGGTGCCAGCTGTTTGGCACGACTGTATGCGTGCATCCGGTTGATCGCACACGCCCGTAAAACGGAAACGATTCTGCACGGAAAGAAATTTTCAGATGGGGTCCATCATTATGGCTGCTAGCTTAATTGTGCTTAATTAATTTGTTTGAAGACCTACTTGATATGTAAAATGCCACACGCCCTCCAGCGACGAGCGGCAATTGATGGGCACAAAGTTCTCGTTGAAGAGCGTTATCAGCTGCTGGTCATCCTTAATGTTCCTGCAGATGTTCTCCACCGTAGGCTTCTGGCCGGGGGGCAAGCTCAGACACGGACCCTCATACTTTTCAAACACATTTAACGTACGGATTTTCGTGTTGACGCAGTGATAGCAGTCCTTTGTCTTTTCTTTGAATACAAATGAATACTCGTCCCCGTGATGGCGCATGTAGTTGATACAATAGCCTCGACTCGACATCGAAGTGGCATCGATGACCGTCTGTGTGGGCAGGCCAGTCTCCCATGAAAACCAAGATCCCTGCAGTATCTTCGGTATAATACAGTTGCGTTGCTCGATTTGATTCTGATTGAATTGTGCAAGCGCTAAAAATAAATACATAATTTAAAGATTAGGCCACATGAATCACATTACATTGAAGCTGCTTTGCCTTTTAGGCGAGGCGCGCTTGGGTGTGGCTTGAGAGTGAAGCACGCGTACTGACCTGAGCTCAGGAAGCCCAAAAGGCAGATAACCCTTAGGTGAACATTCATATTGGGACTACAACGGTTTTACTTAATAGCTAAACATAGTTTTTGAATGTAAATTCGAGGAATAAATGGACAAAAACGCAGTTAACACAAAAACAAACACGCAACAAACAAATTTACCAAAAGAAGCCTGGCTTTACAACACTGAACGAGTTTCTCCGTAAAACCTTACAGTACTGGGCTGATACTTTGATTAGTTTTATTCGATTGGTTATTCATCTACAGTTGAATTTGAATTTTGAATTTCGTTTCTATGATCAAGACATTGTCCAAGTCTACAGCTCAAAGGTTTACTTACATTATCTAGCTCCTTGCTGGTGTAATAAAACAGTCTGTCTGGCTGATTACAGAAATGAGCTACTTAGCAACCGGCACAGACAATAGCGAGCCGCTAAATTGAATTTAACGCTGTCTGGCACGGCAGAGTCGGACTCGGGACTTGCGGGCACAACGACCTGAACGCCTCCGCAATTATTATGTTGAACTGCAGTTTGGACTCGATTCGGCTCTTTCGTCACTTGTTCTAAATTAGCGCCATATAATTCGATAGTTGATCAGGCGATTACTGCCAATATAATTACGATCGCCAAGTGATTCACATGCTTGGAGTTCCTAATTTAAACACACGTAGGTCTGTGTGTTAGTATAATCCGGTTGAACTTTGGAACTCGTTCAGAGCTTTCTATAATGGCATGTTCATGATAACGCATTGGAAAAATGTCGAGGTGCACGGTGTGTTTGTGCATATAGAAAGAGCGAGCGTCCTTATCGCGCGCGCGAGTGTTAAGGGTCAAAACGAACATGATGCGAGTGGAGTGGTGTCCAGAAAGTGGACGACTACGATTTAGTCTGAATACACATCCCGTACCGCTTAAAAGGGAGGCGCGATCGGTGCGAGCAATTTAGAACGCGACGTGATTTTGGGAATTCAAATACAAGCACGAGTCGATCGAAGAGTGGAAGCAGTAGCAATTTAGCTTGTGCCCGGAACAGTTCATTTACTAAGCGACTCTTATACACCCTCCTCACACACAAATGGGTTAGTGTTAGTGGCACGCGTTGCAAAATGTGATCTCCAGTAAATAATACCCTTTCATCCTTTTAAAGCAACTGCAACTATCGGCGGCAGTGGACTCCACCTGGAGGCCATCGATCGCATTGTCTCCATTCCGTTGGTGGAGTCGAGCGTGAAGCGGGTGGAGAACATCTACGGCAAGGTGAAGAACAACAATCGTCTGTTCTCCTGGTACTTTGAGGCCGCCGAGGCCACCATTTCGGCCGCCTATGGCTCGGTTCAACCGGCCGTGAAGCTCTTTGAGCATCCCCTGAAGCGCATCGACAATGTCATGTGCAAGAGTCTGGACATACTGGAACAGCGTATTCCTCTGGTCTATCTGCCACCCGAAATGGTAAGTACCGGCGACTGGTCTCCGTCCCGCCAATGCGGCTTGATTCGCTTACAAGGCAATTATTTTGGGCTTAAAGATGTATTGGAACACCAAGGAATACATGTCGGATCATCTGGTGCGGCCCGTCCTCAAGCGCGCCGATTCGGTCAAACAAATTGGCACCGCTGTGCTGGAGAGTCCCCTCACCACCTATGCGGCGGATCGCATCGATGGAGCCTTCACAGCCGGCGACAAGTTCGTGGACAAATATCTGGTGCCCATTGGCACGGGCCAGGATCAGACAGACGGTGAGTAACCTTGAGACAAGGTGCACTCATCTCACGCTCTGCTGTGGCTGATGCTGTTCAGTTCAGTTCAGCTCAGCACGGCTCGGCTCATAGTTTATTTTTAAATTCCAACGTTGCGATGGCGATGGCGTTGTCGGGCGCTAGCCGAGAAGGTTATCTCTTGTGAATTATTGGAGTCACGAGATAAGCGGAGGCTCAGGTCCGCTCAAGTCGCTGTTACACAAAACACATCTACAAATCATGGGGATTCAAAATGGTATTATAATTTTGAATATATCCGCTTTGCAGCCCCCCAAGAGGATGATAACGGAGCGGCACTCAATGAGAAGGGGGCCATCAAGGCGATCCACCACGGTCAACGATTCTCCCGAAAGCTGAAGCGCCGCCTCACACAAAGAACGATCGCCGAGGCCCGCGCCCTGAAGAAACAAAGCAAAGAGGCCATCCATGTGCTCATCTATGCTGTTGAATTGGTCAGTAAAAGGAGTGCCTTCCAGGTAGACCATACCAGCCTAATAGCTCTTGAACATTCCCACAGATTGCCACGGATCCAAAACAGGCCATGCAAAAGGCTAGGGAACTGTGGACATATCTCAGCGCAGATGAGCCCGAGAATCAGGCGAGGCCAACCACCCTGGAGCAGTTGATTGTGCTCCTCACAAGGGAATCGGCCAGAAGAGTAGTGCATTTGGTGAACTTCAGTGCCACTGTGGCATCCAACATTCCCAGGTGAGTGTTCTAAGAAATTGCATTACTGATTCGCCACTAATCTTGCACTTGATTTCGACAGAAACCTGGCACACACCACCACAGAAGTGGCCCACCAAATCGTATATATTAACCATCGCATCATCACAATATCCCGCCTGGACAAGGTGAAGACCCTGTCCAAGGAGGAGGCTGAATCTCTATTAAAGCGCGCACTGGCGTTCTACGGCAGTCTGCAGGGCCTGACCAACAGTTATCTGGTGAGAACGACTAGACCACCACTTCCCTCGATTACTTTACTAACTACCAAATTGCATTTCCAGGAACGTGTGGCCAACTTTCTGTCCGGACGCATTGAGGCCGAGAAGGTGACGGGCACCGACAGCGCCACAACCAATCACAGATCCTCGAGGAGGCGACAGGACAACAACACAAACAATTACTCAGCGGCCCACAACAATATAAATGGTGTCTACTAGGAAATCGAGTTTTTTATTGTAATCGTATTCTTATGTCTTATAATAGAGTTTTGCTTTTGTCTGCACATCCGCACAAGTCATTAAACGATTTTTTTACACTTACACAAAAGCGATTATTATTGGTATTGGTCACTTAAACAAATGCTCCTTATAGTACTTCAGCTCTTGAATGCTCTCCATGATGTCGTCGAGGCTCCGGTGAGCAAAGACCTTGCGCGGCGCTGCTTTGGCGATGTCGGGGTACCATCTCTTGGCCAGCTCCTTGATGGTGGAAACGTCCACAATTCGATAGTGTAAATATTCGTTGACGGGCGACATGTATTTCCTGATAAAGAGCCGATCCATGTAGACAGAGCTGCCGGCAAGGGGACACTTGCCCTTGGGGATGTTTTTCTGCAGGTAGGACATCACTAGATCACCCGCCTTGTCGGGAGTTACATCAGAGCTCCGGCAACGGTCGATCAGGCCAGACTCGTTGTGGTGTTTTATGCACCATTCGTTCATGTTTTTGTAGACATCCTCTGGGTAGTTGATGGCAAAGCAGGGTCCCTCGGACTTGATGTTGAGATCCTTGTCGGTGATGATGCAGGAAACCTCCAGTATTTTGTCCGTATCTACGTCGAGGCCGGTCATCTCCAGATCCATCCAAACGAGATCCGTCTCGTCATCGGCCCCACTTTTACTTGTGCTCATTTTTCGGTTTTGATTTGTTGCAAGCCTACTTTGTATCTGTAGGAGCCTACCGAGTCCAAATGGTCCTAGGCGTTTTAGTTTAAGGAGCATTAAAAATTGTGTATAAATTTTTCAACAGGTAATCAACCACCATGTGATTGTGCGCTCTTCCCTCACAACGATAACTGAAGCAATCGATAGAATATCGCACATCACTAGAAATTAACAACACTGCCCTGGTACAGACAGCGTTTTTATCAAAAAGTAAATTTTATTGTTTGGGGAAAGCGGAAACGTATATACATAGAAATTTAGGAGAAAGGAAAGTCACACACAATGTCCTCCGCATCAGCCAGAGACCAGCCCAGCACATCGAAGGAATCGTTCGAGGACTTCTACACCGAAGTAAGTTTAAGATGGCAATGCCAGCGCAATACCAGGTTGTGGTGTGGGGCCCTCCCATAACAGCCAACACACAACACAATTATTATTTCACTGTACACATGAATAAACGATTTTGTGACTATATTCGCAGGTGAAAGAAATTGAAAAACGCGATTCTGTACTAACTCCTACTCAACAAATTGATCGTTTACTTCGTCCAGGTTCCACATACTTCAATCTTAACCCATTCGAAGTGCTCCAAATCGAACCAGAGGTCGAGGTGGCCGATATAAAAAAGCGCTACCGCACCTTGTCCATTCTGGTCCATCCGGATAAGAATCACGATAATCAGGAGCGCGCCCAACTGGCATTCGACATTGTATCGCGTTCCTGGAAAATCTTGGAGAATGAATTGTCGCGAAAAAAGTGCCTGGAGGTCTATGAGGAGGCCAAGGGACGAACAGATAAAATGGTTTGCCACATGACACATGACCCATAACAGAGTCTGAGATATTCGTAATCGTATTCTGATTTTCAGATTGCAGAGAAACGCAAAAAGCTTAAAAAGGAGGGCCGACCCATGGAGCCCATACCAGAGGATGATCCCACGAAATACAAGCATGCCATTTACGTAATGGTGATGAAACTGTTCGCCGATATGGAGCGTCGGCGCCAGAAGCTGGACCAGCGCGACCAGGAGGAGCGCAAGCGAAAGCGGGAAACCGAAATCGAGGAGGAGGAACGCATCAAATCGGACCGCGAGTGGCAGCAAAACTTCGAAGAGTCCCGTCAGAGCCGCGTGAACAGCTGGCACGACTTCCAGTCGGGCACGAGCAAATCAAAGAAGACTAAAAAACAGAAGCACATGACTGGCATGATGGTGCCGCCCAAATTCAAGCCAGAATCACGATGAAATTGCTCTTCCAGCGCGACGATGTTATATCGTTTATTTCCATCGCTCCCCGTCGCCACATCGCGTCGCGTCGCGCTGTTTGAATGTTGTATCCACAAATATTTTTACACTTTTATAAGTCTACCATTTGGAATTGTAATTGACACATGTGCATGATAAATAGTTTTATAAGAAATCAGATTCCTTGTCTTGCCTCTCGAATCCGGGCCATGCCCCACATCCCATTATACATTACAGTTCCGTGTACAGGCTGGCAGTGAAGACAATGTCTCGCTTGATGGCCGCCGAGGCCTCCTCCATTTTGGCCTGCAGGCCGGGATTTCCAATGCGTATGGCCGCCGTCTTAACGTCGCGCAGCGTCTCGTCCAGCTGCTGGATGCAGCGCACAATGATGCCCTCCTGCACTTCGGTCAGTTTCATGATCTCGGCAAAAGGCTGAAAGAATAACCGAGAGCAACCAATAAGGGGCACCAACAATTTTCAAACGCTTCTTACCTTATTTCTGGCCCACTCATATACCACCTCGAGCAGGCCAAAGTTGAGGCGACTCTCGGATTCAGTGGACGCCTGGAAGCGCTGCTCCTCGGCTAGAATTTTATCACTGATCTGCTCAAAGGCAGCCACGCATTCTTTTAAGGCCTCAGGTATGACTGGCTCGCCCTGGATCTTGGCCTGAAACACCAGACCCGACAGCAGGGCAGCAATCTCTGCGGGCTCGAGATCATTGAACATGTTGCAGAGTATCAATTCGGTGATCAGCAGCTCGTTCTGGCCCATTTCGCAGGCCACTTTGCCCTTGAGCGTCACCTCGTTCTGCTCATCGATGTAGTTGAGGGCGTGCAGGACCTTCAGCTTGTTGCAGTAGTCCGGATAGAGTGACAGATTCTTGGCCGAGTTCTTGAAGCGCAGCTCCTCGATGTGCAGCTCCAGCATTCGTCGCTCATAGACCTTGGCGAACTCCTGCTCGAATCCGGCGATATTGGTGTGGGGCAGCAGGTCGGCCACCTGGCGCCCTAACTGCTCGACAGACTGGAGCAGGTCCACTTCGGTGTCCGCATTCACATTGATCTCCTTCGCCAAGTTGATGAACTTGATGCTGTCTACATTGGCGATATAGTTCTCGTTGAGCTGATGCAGATCGGAGACTGCCTTGACCACCGTGGCTCCCGGTGGTGTGTCCTTGAAGCGCTCCAGCTGCCGCTGTTCCCAGTTGCGTATCACGACATCTGCGTCTACCTTGAACGTGGACTTGGTGATGCTCACAATGTCAATGGCCTTGATGTCGAGCACAGCGTGACCGCCAATCCCCTCCGGCTGGAAGAACTTGTTTTTGGGCGTCAGCGAGAGTATTTTGTAGTAGAACTCTCCGCGATTGACCAGTTCGTTCTCCTTGGCCTTGAACTGATGATCCAAGACGAGCACTTTGTACATGGTGTCCTTGCCCAGCACGGACTTGATGTTCAGGAGGATACCCAACTTGTTGTAGTGCTTACCCTGCGTGATGACAATCACGCGACCCACCTTCAGTTCCTTCTGGATTTTGGCCTGGGTAACGATGAATTTCTGCAAAAGATCAGGCATTAAATAAGCGACACTCCCACTCCCACTCATGACCAACCATAACGCGATGCTTCTCCTTCCAGTAGTGAATGGACTTGTCGTAGAAGTGGACCAGCGGCTGCAGATGCTCCCCCAGGGTGGGCAGCATGGCAAACTTATCCTCAGCTATGCGCAGCTGCTTCTGCTGCGTTGGGAGCTGGAGTTTCTGGTTGAACTCCTTGAAGCTGAACTGCATGATGTCCTCCACCTTGATGCTTTCTATGCGCAGGCAGGTGAGGATGACGGCATACCGGAGGATGAACTGTGATTGCAGCTTCTCGGGTAGGCCGAGTATCATCGGCCGCAGCTCCATCGAGGGCGGCACATTCCCCTTGCACAGGACGATTACGGTGCCGGTCTCATCGTGCCCACGGCGACCGGCACGACCAGCCATCTGTATGTACTCGCCCGGCTTGAGATTGCGCACCTCCAGGCCGTCGAATTTCTTGTGCGAATCGAAGACCACGGTGCGGGCGGGCATGTTGACGCCCATCGAGAAGGTTTCGGTGGCAAAGAGCAGCTTGACCAGACCATTCTGGAACAGCATCTCCACAATCTCCTTGAGTATTGGCAGAATGCCACTGTGATGGACACCAATGCCCCGCTCTAGGGCGTCCTTAAGCACCATAACCTGGGGAATGCTGCGATCCGGTGGCTTCAGCTTGGCCAGACACTGCAGGAAGAACTTCTGCACGGCTCCCTTCTCCTTCTCCGTGTTGAGGTCCACCGACTGGAGGGCGGCCACATTGGTATCGCATCGATTGCGCGACAGCGTGAAGGCCACCACCGGCATCTTGTTGTTGCGCTTGAGGAAATCAATCAGTCCTATCCACGTGTACTGCTCCTGCTTAGCATTCACATAGTTCTTGGACCCGCTGGCGCCGGCTCCGCTCTTGGATTTGCCCTGCATCTCCTTTTTGCGCTCGACGGCCTTCTCGTAGTTCCCCTGGAGATACCTGCCATTGGCGTCGACCAGCAGGAATATGTCGTCGCGGCTCTTGCCACCCGCTCCCGTGTAGAGGAAGTGCTGCAGCGGCACCGGACGCTTCAGAGTGCTGATCACATAGACCTTTCGCTTCTTGGTGCTGCCCACCCAGTCGGCCAGTTCCATGGTGTTGGGAACTGTCGCGCTCAGCATGATGATGTTGACATGGTCGGGCAGCAGGATGATCACCTCCTCCCAGACATGGCCGCGCTCCGGGTTGTTGATGTAGTGCACCTCATCGAAGATCACGTACTCCAGGTCGCGGGTGATGTCGCTGCCGCAGTAGAGCATCGAGCGCAGGATCTCGGTGGTCATGATAAGGCAGGAGGCGGTCGGCTCGATCTGCAGATCGCCCGTAATCAGGCCCACATCCTTGAAGGTCTTGCGAAAGTCGCGGTACTTCTGATTCGAGAGCGCCTTGATGGGCGACGTGTAAATGGTGCGCGTGAGATCCCGCTTGGACAGGGCGATGGCATACTCGGCCACCACCGTCTTGCCGGCCGATGTGTGGGCAGCCACAAACACATACTGTCGCTGCTCCAGCTTAAGGATCGCCTGCTTCTGGAAGACATCCAGCTCGAAGGGGAAATCCATTGCGGGACAGGGTATCTGCTCCTTGAAGTCGCTGATCGGCTGGCTAATGTCCACCATTTCCGCCCAATCACTGCTGAAGGCCTTCGCAGTAGTCGAGATATTCAGGACCGGCTTGAGGTCCGCTTTCATAATCTGGTCGTCCACATCCTGGAACTCGGCGGAGGAGGAGGGAAACTTCAGATCCACCTGCGGTCCCTTGGCGGCCTCATTCTCACTTCGCGTCATCTGCATCCATTCCTGCACATCCAGATCCTGCTCCAGATTGTCCAGCAGATCCACGGTCGTTGCAGCTCCAGTCTTTGGAGCTCCTGCATCGCCTGCCTGAGTCTGGGCGAAATCATGGCCTGAGGCAAAGCCCGGCGGTACCGTCAGCAGATTATCCCCAAAATCAAAGCTGTCCACTTCCAAGGCGGCTATCTGCTGCCGCTGCTCATCAAAGCCGCCCGGCCAGAAGGGATAGTTCATGTGGGATCCACGCGTCGCCTCCTCCAGCAGACCCGGCTCCCGTTGCATGGACATTGAATTGTTGGCATTCGCCCCCACATCCTCGAGATCCACCTCCACGAACTCAAGAATCTCACCGCTCAGGTCCCGGCGCGGCACCAGCTTGGTGCTGCCCGGGCATTTTGGGACATGCAACAGGCGCATCGGGTCGAT